CCCAAGTGACAGGTTAAGATCACACCTACAACCTCTCATGATTTATGCTGTAAACACAGCCACAGGATCAGTGAGCTTGGAAAAAACCTCTGGGATTATTAAACCCAACCTGTGCCCAGAGCTCTGAGCACACCAGCCCAGTCCTTCCCAGGAAACCTCCAGGGACGGAGACTCCAAACCTCCCTGGGCTGCCCCTGCCAATATTTCACAACCTTTCCATGGGGAAATTCCTGCTGATCCCACCCTGACCCGTTCCCTTCCCTCCTGGGTCTGTCCCTGGGAGCAGATCCCAAATCCTCTCTGGAATTTGCAGGGAACCCCAATATGGGAAGAGCTGAAAATCTTGACTCCATGTTTCAGAACAGTGATTTATTATTTTATGATCTATATTATATTAAAAGAAAATCCTATATTAAAACTATACTAAAGAATTTTATATATAAGATATAATAAATATTCTATTTTTATATATAAACACAATATATATACATATTATATACATTATATATTATATATAATATATATTATATATAGTATATATTATATATAAATATTATATATATTATATATCAATATATTTATATATAATATATATTTTATATCAACATAATATCTATAATATATTTTATATTTCTGTATATAAACACAATATGTTTATATATAATTTGTTATATTTTTATATATACAATATATTTATATATAAAAATATAATATTATATACATAATTATAATAATAATTATATATATATATATATACTGTACTAAAGAAGAAAGGATTTCAGAAGGCTGGCAAAAAACGAATAATAAAATCTTGTGGACGACCAGAGAGTCTGACCTGTGATTGGTCATCAAGTAAAAACAACCACATGAGACCAATCACAGATGCACCTGTTGATAAACCACCTCCAGACCACATTCCACAGCCATCAGATAATTATTGTTTACATTTCCTTTCTGAGGTTTCTCAGAAGGAAAAAAATCCTAGGAGCAATTTTTTTCTCAGGAGAAAACTTTTCGGAAAATTTTCTCCGATTTTTTTCTCAGGAGCAAAAAACCCTAGTGGAAGGATTTTTCAGAAAATGTATCTGTGACATTCCCCTCCTGCCAGGGAGCTGTGCAGAGCCACAAGGTCCCCCCTGAGCCTCCTTTTCTCGTGGCTGAGCCCCTCCATGTCCCTCATTCCATGAGGAGCCCAAAGATGGACACAGAATCCCAGGTGGCTCCTGCTGGCCACGCCATTCCCCAATCCTCAAACTCAGCTGCAATCCCAGTCCTCAAACTCAGCTGCAATCCCAATCCTCAAACCCTCTGCATCCCAATCCTCAAACTCAGCTGCAATCCCAGTCCAGCCCACTTCAGACACCCAGAAAATCCAGTATCTGCTAAGGAGCTGACCACTCCTTCCTCAGCAAACCAGGAAACCCAAAAGAACTCCAGGGAAATATTTCATTCTCCAAACCCCCTCAGAGTCCTGCTGAGGAACACCAGGAGATGCCCCCACATCTCCCCATCCTCCTGAACTCTAAACCCATAAGGATGCAGGGTCAGCTGATTAAAAATTGTTGCCAAAATTGCCTTTTTTTAGTGCTTTTCTGCTCTGCTGAATAAAGTATCAACCCTCCAGGCTGTCAGTACAGTAAAGGAGAAGAAATTTGCACAGTTCCTCATTACAGGGCTGTCAAGTGGAGCTCCAGTGGAGAAACAGGTGGGATTGTATTTCCATTATAATCTCTGAAGTGCTGCTTAAAAATAAAATAAAAAGGCGTCAACACGCTATTACTCTGCGAGGAAAGAGCACCTCATCAAGGAGAAAGAGAAGATCTGAAAACATAAAATCTCCTCCACAAAGAGGTTTGATAATGTTTGTCTGGTCAGGGGAGCACAGGGCTATTTATTGCTCTTGGCCAGCACTGGAAATCTGCATTTAAATGGAGCTTCCCTCTCATTCCTGCTATCCTGAGAGAGCAAATTCAGGGGAGATGTGATAAAAGCAGCTGAGGGCTTTAGTTCTGCTGCTTGAAACACAATCTCTCTTTTATCTTCTTTAATAACTGCTTTGTGTACATAAAATCAGAATTACACTCCCTGAGACCTGGAGTTTGCAGAAAAAAAATTGAGCAGGAAGGTGGTGATGTGTCCATCAACCTCAGAGGGACCATCCCTGTATCCCAAAAAACAAAAATCCCAAAAATCCATCTGGGGCAGGCAGGGAAAAACCCTCCAGGCTCCCCATCTCACCTCATTTAGGGAATATAAATCCCAATACAAGGCATCAGCAAACACCCTGAGCATCAAAAGAAGAGCAAAAAAGGCACAAAAAGAGAAGAAAAGGGGTCAAAAATGGGAAATTCCCATGCAGAGCTGTCTCAGGGGGGGGGCTGAACCCACCCTCTGGTAGCAAAGCAGGGCAGGAAATTGATTTTAAAGGGAAACTCCTGTGGGTTTTCGCAGCCAGACTTAAGGCACTGCAGCCGTGGAGAAAATCCTGGGCTGGGGATTGAAATATTGGGGTTGTGAGCAGTTAAGTCTCACTCCAGGCCCTGAGAGAAAATTCCCAAAACCAAGGAGAGAAAAGCAGGGAGAAGGAGCAGGGAGAATGCTCAAAGTTGAGGATTTAACAGCAAGAAGCAGGAAAAATAAAGGTATAATTGGGAGCCAGAGAAATGCAAGAGGAGAGGATGGGGGACTGAAATTTCCTGAGGTGTAGGGTCAGGGAATGGCACAGGTTGGAACACCAGGGACTCTCCTGAATGTCCCTAAACCCCAAAACCAGGGAATTCCAGGCACCAGGATCTGATTTCTGGGTCAGTGTGGTGTGGTGGGATGGCATTTTCTGTTTTCCCTGAAACTTTGCAGCATCAGCTCCCCACAGCACTGCCCTCTAATCCAGATTTTCAGCACCTCTGCAAAGCCCCATCTGTCAAACTGGGCCAAAAGAGTTTGCCAAAAATCCAAGCTCCCTTCACGGCCACCCACATCCCCTAAATGCCTAAATCTTATTTTCTTAGGAATCCAGCCTAAAACCACTGACCCGAGTTGGGAAGATCATTTTTCTGCCTGTCTTTTGCTTCCATAATGTCAAGCTGAGTTTCCAAAGGAGGTTTTTCTGCCCATTTTCATGGTCTCAGGTGACTGGCAGCAGCTGTGGTTTTGTAGGAAGAGAGCACTGGGAAGCCCTGGTGGGGCCAATAAACTTGGCAAGACCAAGAAATGAGCAACAACTTAATTAAGTCAGCGGAGAGTATAAATATAAGAAAAATAACCACACAAACCCCAAGTGCCACTGCCAGGCAAGCAAAATGAATGAGGAAGGAAGAAACAATGGGTAAAGTTCTGAGTTAAAACAACAAAAACAACAACAAAAAAGCCAACAAAAAAAAAGGGAAAGTCCAGCAGGATTTATGGCTCTGATGATGGATTTGAGAGATGGGAATGAATAATGGAGCTGGGGAGTTGGCAGGAAAGGACCCAGACCCCACAAAACACCCTCAATAAATGTGTTTTGTAGCCACAACCCCACAAAACCCCAGAGTTTCAGTGGCCATTCCAGCACACACCAAATTCTGCAGCACTTTGGGATTTTTCTGACTGGAAGGGATTTAAGGAGAGAAGCATTCCCAAACCTTTGCCTTGCAGGGGAAACCATTTCCTGATCCTCCTCCTGCCCACAGGCTGGAAAGACCTCAAAGATCATCCAGCCACCACCATGGTCACTAAACCCTGTCCTCAAGTGCCACAGCCACGCATTTTTGGAACAATTTCAGGGATGGTAACTCCACCACCACCCTGGGCCAGTGCTTGGCAGCCTTTCCATGGAAAAATTGTTCCTCGTTTCTAATCCAGACCTCCCCAGGCCATTTCCTCTGATTCTGGTGTGGATAAGACAGCAGGGTACAGGATTTAAGGAACTGGGGGTCCCTCTGCAGCCCCTGAATTTCCATTAAGGGGGATTTAATGCCCATTTTCCTCTGAACTCTTCTGGATATCTCAGCATTTAAAGTGTATCTGCTGCTCTTCCAGCCCCTCCTGTTTCAGGGGGGTCCCAGCTCTGGCTGATCCCTCCCAGGCTGGCAGGGGATGCACAGCTCAGCCCAAAGGATGCAGAGGGGAAATTCCAGGTCCTGGAATTAACCCACACACAGAGACACAAAACAGCCTTGGATGTACCCCCAAAATCAAGGTGAGGAGGGGGAAACACTGTGGAGGGATCCTGGGGTTTGCTTGTATTAATATGGAGAATTTTGAGATATTTTGCACCTCTTGTGCTCCTGTTCCAGATCACTGGCCACTGCTGCTGTGACAAATCTCTAAAAGATGGGCCCAGGGACAAGGACCGACCATGCAGGATGTAGATATGGCAATTGCTATAAAGATATGAGCCAGACAAATGATAGGTGAAATAATTTTCATTCTCCCATGATGGATGGAGAGTGAAGAGATAAAGTGACTCCTCAAGGTTTTCCAGGCCCACATGGCAAATAAACAGATTTAATGTGCCAGGAGGCTTCGGGAAGCCTTGCTTGGAGACTCAGCCTCTCTGCCACCAAACCCTGACAATTCTGCCTCAATCCTCAGCACTACAAACAGATCCTTTTGGGGATGGGAATCCCTGGAAGCAGGAATGTGTGTAAGGATCAGTGGGTCAATGCCACGTGGCTGAGCGTGGATGGAAGAGCCAAAGTGTGTCTGGGAGCCTTTGGGNAGCTCCTCCAGCCTCTGCTCCACCCCAGCCTCCCCGAGGCACCCCAGGGCTGGTACTCACTGGTCTCAGCTGTCTCGTACTCGCTGTCCCTCAGCAGCTCGAAGATGTCCACCTCCACCCTGGCCTTGCCCGCCCGCTCGGGCGCGCGGTTGATGCGGTTCTTGGCCAGGGTGATGGAGAGCCTCTCCCCTCTGCTGCACTCCATGGGGTCATCCAGGATGGCAGCTGTGGGGGGAAAAGGTGTAGGCACAGGTTAGGTTTGGGATCTGCAACCCCCTCCCCATCCCCATGATGCCTCAAGGTTGAGATTTTGTATTTTCCACATTCTGCGCTGCATTGGAATAGAGCTCTGAACTTCATATAAAGTGTTAGAAGTTCTTCTCACAGCTCAGTCACACAGAAAAATCCTTGTCCAGCCCCAGAACCAAGGACATCGCTGCAGCTTCAGCCCAAAAAGTGCAAACAGAGAATTGAGAAACAAACAGAAAATTGAGCAACAGATAGCAAATTGGGATGCTGGGACTGCATCAGAGAATTGAGAAACAAACAGAAAACGGAGCAACAGACAGCAAACTGGGATGCTGGGACTGCATCACCTGAGCTGGAATTGGACAATTAACCCCAATATGGAAATGGAACAAAATTTATAAAAGTGTGAAAACTCGTGACTCTGAGTCCATCTTGGGTGTAGCCTTGGCCAGGCTCTTGTACAGCCTTTAAACCCTTTTAATAAATCCCTGCTTTATTCCTTTAACTCTGCCCAGGTATCCTCTCCAGCATCACCCACACTCCTGATCCCTGCAGGAGCTCTGTTTGTGCTCCTGTCACCACCAGAGCTGCCACATCCCCCTTCCCACACGTGGCCTTTCCCGCTGCTTCTCCCACTCCCCAGGCCCTGCCAGACAGGTGGGTGGTGAAATCTCTGCAGAGAAATCTCTGTTTTACCTGCTGGAATGCCACAGCACAGCCACCCACGCTGCCAGGCTCCCAGCACCCACTGCCACACGGGCTGGCTGCTCCCAGACAGGCTCATCCAGCTGCCCAACCCTAAAAAACCCGGATCCAGGAGCTGCCTCACACCCCAACAAAGGCAGAATGTCCCCAAAAACCCCGGGATGGTTCCTTTGGGGTGCTGAGGAGCTGGGATATTTCAGGAAGCAGCACTGGGTGGGGAGGGACAAATATTTTTCAAACAGAAAAATCTTTGAACTCAGATCTGTGGAGGCAGAGGGAGGTGGGGAAGGGCATTACCTTTGTTTTTTTGGAGGGAAGGGAAAGAAGGATTCAGGGGTGGAGCATTCAGAGCAGAATTTGATGAGGAGCTGGCACCCCAGTGGGTTTATCCTGTTCTTATCCACCACCTAACAGGAGGTGCACCCCAGAACACAGAATTTCTATTTTATCTGGGGGAGAGCAGTGCTGCTGCTTGCTATGTGCATTAAAAAAATACCAATTCTTGTCTTCTCTCCCCAAAAAAATCCCTCCACAGGGAGAGG